ACACTTTTTTCCCTTCAATTGGCCTCCAAGTTAGGGTTCTATAGTTGAAACAAAAAGTCGACTTTTCAGTATTTTTGAAAAGTCGATTTTTCGACTTTTTGCGTTCTATGAAAAGTGGACTTTTCGACTTTTTGCGATTTATGAAAAGTCAACTTTTCCGACTTTTATGAAAACGTCGAATTTCTAAATTTTTTTATAATATTCGACTTTGGATTCTATTCGACTTTTTCCGACTTTTAATTTTTCGAGGATTTTCGACCTTTTTCGACTTTTATGTACAAAATCGATTCTATAACTTTTTTCTTACAAAATAGTCGATAAATCCGATGAGGATTTATCGTTAAGACAAAAATGACGACTTCTACTTTTTCCAACAAAAAATCGATTCTTCGATTATTTTGATGTCGAAAGTCCAAGGTCAGGAGTCACAGGTTTATGCTAAGGTCACTTCTCGAAAAAATTACACCAAATTGGTAACCCAGTACAAATTGGGCAGGAGTTCAATCGTCTTCTGCTTGTGGTGGATAGGAGATGGCATTGAACCATCTCTATTACTATAGTTTCTCTAAACTATGGTTTCACATCAGAAGAACTTTGTATTTCCCGCGGAATTGGCTACGGGGGTGTTAACCTAAAACATAAGTCATCATGATCAAAATACTACTATGGAATTAAAAACCCTGGCATTTAGGGCGAACAATTCGCCAAGTTTATAGCATGGCATTTACAAGAATGTAGACGTCAAGGAGTAGTAGGATTTATACGGAGGAAGTTCTAAGGTTAGGGTTCCGACTTTGAATACTCAAATCATACCTTAACCGAAAAAAATAGATGGATTGGTGTTTATTATGGTGATTTTTCTTGAAAAACCTTTGCAGTTTTCGAGCAGTTCTTGCATCAGTAATAAAATTTAACAAAACTTTCGCAGTAATGCCCTAATATGCAGTCACATACCCATAGTCTATTATTATTGATATTATGATCTAAATACTTAAATAGAAACTAAAGTTAAATAACCTCTCAATAGTTTATAAATCAGACTTTGACCAAGTGTGCGATCATGATCCAAACTATTCACGTGAATTCTTCAAATTGTTTAAAATTACTCACGCACCCAACTCAAAACTAAACCAAAATCAAAACATATGAATAAAATAAAAAGATAAATATCAAACATTAACTATTAAGAAGTAAAATCAATCAAACACGACTTTATAATACCCTAAACCTTTATAAATTGGGTTTTGAATAAAGTTTTTCTAACGGCTGTTTGTTTAGGCCGTTAAAAGTTGGAATTGTATAGAAGTACAGATTGATATCTAAAAATTATTTTTGAAATTCTTGAGATAATGCATTCTGAACGTTCAGATTTTTCAAGGCCCCCAAAACGCCATTAGTGCTGTTAAATAACAATCTCGAAGTTTTCGGTTTATATTCTCACTGGATCTTTTTATTGTTTAAAAACACAACTACTTATTTAACTACCAATTTGTAAGCGATTGTTGTAAGCACTTATTTGAAAGGAGGCTAATGACAGCTAGTTTGACAGTTAACCCTTTGTAAGTTTCATCGAGTTAAAAAAAAACTACCATCGTTTCTGAATAAATGACTTTTAATATAAAATTTCAGAGAATCATTCAATACGTTGACTATATTCATTATCAGATCTTGAATGTGATCTCATTGGAACAATAAACAATCAGATATAGTCTTCTAAATTGTAAACTTTAGTTTGATCACATGATTCAACTAAACGGACAGACCGAGGTTTATCACCTTAATCTAAGAAAATTAAGTCGATTGCTATACGACTTTTGTGCGTTACAAATATCAGCGCAAATCTATAATACCCTCTACACTATAGTAGAGTATAAAAAAACATATCAATAAAGATATATACTAGTTTTTGTGAAATATTTAAATTTCATTAGACAATCAAACACATAAAACTAACTAAAAAGTGCGCCAAAATTCCGCTTTAATGATCTTCCTCTCTAAAACATAAATATTTGAAAAATCAATAAACTTCTTCCAAATTGTAACAGATCAAATAGTTAATTAGGACCTTAAAAAGTTTAAAGTAAGTTTCCTAACTTGATTCACTTTGGGTCAAATTTGTATTATGTAGCTTAAAGTTGTACAATTCTAATGAAAATTTCAAAGAAGTTTTTCATTACACATTTAGTTTGCCGCCACCCTAATAGACTAGTTAAATTATTTTAATTTAATTTATAAGAATTTCTAGTTTGGCTTTTAATTATTCCTTTGATTGAATAACATAATACTTAGAACATTTTATTACTAATACTCGTTGCTAGTTTTAGGAATAGTAATTAAGTCTAGGAATTAAATACGTAACGGATGATTTAAAGAAATTTTAAGAAATATCTCTTTCATCTCGGGGATTTTTAATGACTAACCTTAACAATTTGGAAGTCTCTTTAAAAAATTTGGAAAATAATTAATATTAAAACTAATTTTAACGTCATTTTAACAAAACTAGTCCGTTCAGTTCAAACTTGAAACGATCTTTGTAAATAAATCTTAACTTGAGTTCCATTGTTACCAGGGTGGATAAGAGTCTTAAGCACCTATTTTAAAATGAATGTACAATTCACAATCAGGCCAATTGTGAACAATTTTTCCCCGGGAATTTATTCCCTTTTGCTTGTCGTATTCAAAGGAGGGGGAACAAACTCCCCGGCTGTTTATTATTGAGAATAAGCCTGAAAATGGCGGTATTTTCGGGCTTGGGGAATCCCGAATTTCTGTTTCCGGTTTGCGATCAAACTTGTCAGATCAGTCAGTTACTTAGTTAGGTAGTTAGTTAGTTAGTTAGTTAGTTAGTTAGTTAGTTAGTTAGATAGTTAGTTAGTTAGTTAGTAGTTAGTTAGTTAGTTAGTTAGTTAGTAGTTAGTTAGTAGTTAGTAGTTAGTTAGTTAGTTAGTTAGTTAGTTAGTTAGTTAGTTAGTAGTTAGTTAGTTAGTTAGTTAGTTAGTTAGTTAGTTAGTTAGTTAGTTAGTTAGTTAGTTAGTTAGTTAGTTAGTTAGTTAGTTAGTTAGTAGTTAGTTAGTTAGTTAGTTAGTTAGTTAGTTAGTTAGTTAGTTAGTTAGTTAGTTAGTTAGTAGTAGTTAGTTAGTTAGTTAGTTAGTTAGTTAGTTAGTTAGTTAGTTAGTTAGTTAGTTAGTTAGTTAGTTAGTTAGTTAGTTAGTTAGTTAGTTAGTTAGTTAGTTAGTTAGTTAGTTAGTTAGTTAGTTAGTTAGTTAGTTAGTTAGTTAGTTAGTTAGTAGTTAGTTAGTTAGTAGTTAGTTAGTTAGTTAGTTAGTTAGTTAGTTAGTTAGTTAGTTAGTTAGTTAGTTAGTTAGTTAGTTAGTTAGTAGTTAGTTAGTTAGTTAGTTAGTTAGTTAGTTAGTTAGTTAGTTAGTTAGTTAGTTAGTTAGTTAGTTAGTTAGTTAGTTAGTTAGTTAGTTAGTTAGTTAGTTAGTTAGTTAGTTAGTTAGTTAGTAGTTAGTTAGTTAGTTAGTTAGTAGTTAGTAGTTAGTTAGTTAGTTAGTTAGTTAGTTAGTTAGTTAGTTAGTTAGTTACAAACTCGGGTTACGACCAACAGATGTTGTTACCGCTCTACGACCAATGTTTTCAGTGGAAAACTATGGGTAACGAATTACTGTGCTAGGATCCGAAATCATCGTTTTACTGCAATCAAAATTTGGCGATAACTTAATTTCCAGAAGTGGGTCTGTCTCAGGATATCCGATATCATGCGATTTGGAATCCCTCGATTGTTTCTACAGTCTTATCGACCAAATTTGTTCGTGTTATAAGGACAGCAATGCTATCCAAAATAAGCCCAAATTAGGGCCATTTCATACAACTACATACTATTTCAGAACAATTATGAAACTATTTCTTAAAAAGCTGCCCTCCCAAAATATTACTTGCTTCATCACTTGTTCAAAACATTTCGCTCAGGTATCGCTAACAATTATAATTCTTCTAGAACTTATCATTTCAGAATAAATTTTAAAAACGTTTTCTATTCCAATACAATAAATTTAAAAGACCTGTTATTAAATTTGTTTAAGATAATTGAACTTCTTTTAAATATGTTTTGTGTAAATGATTCGTATTAATCCAAATACTTAATTAGAATTAGAATTCAAAAACGTGAAAAACATTTAATATTTTAAAAAGCCAAAGACTTTCAAAAGTCAATCACATCAGAAATGGTCAACCATAGACAAAGTTTTATATAGATGGGATCTGTAATTTAGGAATATACAAATGATATATAACTTTTGTTGAAATTTTGAATGACTAAACTAAATGAATGCAACTTCTGTTTACTATAAGTTTCAAACGCCATCATTCATTAATTAGAATACGTCTGCGTAAAGTTGCGAATTTCTAATTTAAATATTTATACGATTTTATGACGACTACGACAAGATGCGCTAAAATTTTCTTTTGTAAACAAAATAAAAAAACTTGACGTCAGATTGGCCAGACAACTAACGTGTCTCTGGTCATGGATTCCATGCAAAATAACAGGTAAACCCCACATGTCTTTTAAAAAAAATCGATAATTAAAGAAGCCAGCCACTAATTTACATACATAGGTTTAGTATATTGGAAATTTGTTAATGTTTATCAATTTAAAACAAAACAACATTGTATAATTTATACGAAAAAGAAACAAATCCAAATTCAAATGAATTGAAACTATAACTGAACATTTTAAAATATTGTTATGATTTGATAAGATTCACTTTAACACACGAGATGAGTAAATCCAATATATTTTATTTTATAGAGTTGTTTTTAAAATTTCAACAAAAAATTATATATGCAGACGTTTTTGATTCCACTTAAACTAGTTTAAGTTCAAATTAAAAAAAAAAAAAAAACAAATAGACTTTTGTGAATAGAGACAAATAGAAATTTATTCACAATAACACGTTCAGACTGCATGATCTGATAAAATAATTTGGAGTATAAAAACA